CAATTCACACTGTTTCTGTGATTTAGCAGGCATTTTAATCCAGAGACGCACAGTTGAGGAATAAATGTCAAAGCAGAGCATAATAGCAAACCTTGAACATTAAGAGCTATGCACCTATTTAAAGAACAGAGACAGTCTGACGAGCTAAGTGCATGTTTGGCGCGTTATTGTTTAAGAGGCGTTAAGAGAGGAAGTGTTATGAGAACAGATGAGCCTTCAAGAGACTGCAAGTAAAGATGGATACCCCTGCTCTGATATTGGCAGCTCATTCCACTATCGCCCAACCGCAAACAGTTTGGATCTGAGACTGCTTTGTGCCAAGGGATGAAAGCACCAGGCATTTCTGAGAGGAACACTGTGTTCTGGATAGCAGCACAAGTCTGTATGAGTTTAGATAGCTGCCTCCAGACCCCGAAGTTGGCCTTTAGGCAAAACAAACTGTAGATGGAAGACCGGATGTAAACGCTGGTCTCTAGAGTGGGATCTTTGTATGCCCACATCCTTCCTTAGCCACCACCTACTACTTTGTTTGATGGGTTTATCAAGAAAAAAATATTTATCGTTTTCACTTTTCATAAATCAATGATTATTATTTTTACTTTTGCTTTAATTGAAAGTTTTTACCTCTAACTTTACCTAAACTGAATACGATCTCATGTCATAGACAAATTAATCTGCGAATGGACAGATAAGACATCAGTTGCCTCTGCTGAATTAAGAAAAAAAAAGAAGAAAATAACACCTTTGAGGGGTGAAGTGAGGAGGGACACGTAGACAGGTATCCTAGCTCTGTTTTGACAGGATAGCAGCTTGTCCCTCTTCAGCACCTTGTTGCACCGACCAGCGTCTTCACCTGGATTAGGGGTATGGTGTCCATCTGTTGGCCATCGGCTTACATCTAAGCCCAGCCATTTCACAGGCCCACATTCAGCCAGCAATCCCTGCAGGCAGCTTAGCTTCTCAATGACAGAAGGGTTTTTCTTTCTTTGGAAACTAAACTTGGCAACACTAGAGTGTGAAAGTGATCTTACTTCAGTCCAAAGGTGGTTAGAATGGATTGAGCCAAAGTATGGTCGTCTATTTTAATCTTCTGGGCTACAACAGGAGGCTGCCACTTAGTGTAGAGAACTGAACCCATGAGCATCTCGATGAGTCGTTTATACATAATCTGTACGTTCAGTAGCTGCTTGTTTTTTTCTTTAAACTGAAACATTATTTTAATGGAAAATAAATGGCTACAAATGTCTAAATGCTGGGCATAATTTTGCACACCCCTAAAAGGAATGGTCAAGAATAAGGGTTGACAGGAAACTTGGTCTGGAAATCAAAACCACGCTTGTAGCCGAGCAAATACATTTCGACTGCCTGGTTTGACCACTTAGGATTAGCCTGCCAGCTGACTAAGCAGTTTGCCAAGGCACGGATATTAAGGGATTTTAACACTTTGTGCTGCAGATAACGCCAGCATCATCTCATGGATTTCCCCGGGGGCTTACAGGTATTTAACAATGGTATTTAACCAGGCTCAGGGTTGATGTCTTGTGACAGGTATACTGAAGCTTTGTGCAGTGGGTGAGGCTTCTCCCTGTTTACGTTTGCTCGCACTCAATGCGATGACTTAAATGCTGACGGGCATGTGAAAAAACAACTAAAAAATATGCGAAAAGTGGGGATAATTCCATGTAAATAACAAATGGTTAGATCTTCTTTTTCCCATTCTATTCTATTCTTCTTGTGCAACAGTTGTACTGTAAAACTAACTAAAATGCTGTGACTATTACTTTGTTGGTATCCTGCAGAGTTTCCAGCATAATGACATTCTGATTGCTATAAATTGCCAATCATACATTAATTTAAAAAGTTGCGGGTGTGCTTATTTATATTTTAAAAAAGCATGTTCAAGGTCTTGCATTTAATGTCAACCTGTGCCGTATGCAGCTTCTGATCAAATAAGAGTTTTCTTGTTTTCACTGAGGCAAGGCAGTGACATCAGCCATCAGAGCTCCATTGCAATATTTCTGAAATCAGATTTTTTTTACAGCTTTTTTACAGTCAGATACGATTTCAGTATAAATACATTATGTCAAGGGTAGAACACAGAGAGACCACAAAGTCCCACAGAAACTGTCTTTAGAATTTTCCTCCTTTATGTGTTGACAAAGAGGTTGGATATGATTTGCAAATCATAGCTTTCCATTCGGCAACAGGGGGAAAGAAACAACATTGTTTTGCTACAAATAGGAAGAAAACCTCAACACCAATTTTCGTCATATCTTACTAGTTTGTTTGTTTGTTTACTGTTGTGTCGACTCCATGGCTGCTTTTGACTAATATGAGCATGGTGCACCATTCTCTGTCAAAATAAAGCGACATCCTCACTATCCCAATGGATGTTGGCGAAAATGTGACAATTTCACTATTCACTGATATAGTCTATTTGGTCTTGGACCAGTGGGTCCTCGATTTATTTAGCGGCCCCATCCAACATATTCATTCTTTTGAGAAAAAAATACATTCTGCTTCACCTCAATTATTGTAATTCTCTGGGAGCTCAGTGGAGGGCTGATTGGAATGAAGAACTGCATTCAGATTGCATGCCTGTGAGGTAATGATAACAGCAGATCATTAACAAAACAGTGCTGCTAATGTCGACCCGAAGATGCCATTCTTCGTCTTAATGTGTCCACGTCTGCCCGTGCCTTTCTGCACATTTACTGCTGAAGCAATGTGCCATGAATTTTAAACCCTGTCTGTCACCCAAAAAAAAAAAACTGACAATAAAAAAACGTAGAACCTTGAAACATATCTTTAGGAAATAATTAGAAAATATTTTAGAAATACACTATGCGGTGTTGATATATGGGTTTTATACCGGTACATGGACTTGTTCAGATGCCGTCTAAGGTTCATAACCTGCTGAAGTTGCGTTCATGAAGCTTTAACAACAAGGGATTACGACTGGATCATTTTCCTGATTGCATTCTAGAGTCAGTGGTAATGCAGTTAGACATAAGAGCATCTCATTGACAGATATCTACTAATGTGATAACCCACGTGATAGAGCTCCATAGATTAAGTAAAGCCCACGATGAGGCCAATTCTTCTTCATAGGTGTCTTTGCATGCCATGCGACTCCCACATATACAGTACTCTATCTCCCTGCAGTCAGCACTGGGTCGATCAATGGAGTTAGGGAGTAAGAATGATCACATATGGCTAGAGGCAGAATGAAGCACAGCAGGCTCTGCTTCAGGCCTCTGATCTCAGACAAGCCCTCTCAGCCTGTTTTGACATCACTTGATTACACATGGTATCATCAAATCCCCAATTTGAACTTTGACCTTCAATGGAACCGAATGAAATTGAGTAGAGTAAATCTAACCCATAAAGCCTCCCACCCTTATGTCCAGTTGACTATCGGTTCACTGGGGTAAAATGTTATTTGCGGTGGTCACTATGGCAGTAACATGTCACGACATAATTAACGGTCTGCCGTGGTAGCAGATTTTTTCTCTATAATCTCAATCTGTTAAATGTAATATGGTCAGCTGAAAAAAATATGGAACCATCCCTCTGTGAATCTGGAAGAAACACATCAGAAGCCGTTCGAATTAGATTTGAAGCAAACATTCAACACATCAGATGAAACTTGATACCTCTGGTGAAATCCGTCACACGTAGACAGTAGAAGTCTCCCACAGGCTTGTCTTTAGAAGAATAAGAATTAAATGTGAAGGGTTATATTCTTTTTTTCTATAATCTTTCATCCTGTCACTCAAGCAGATGCCTTTCAGCAACACTTGGAAATCGGGTAATAGTGTAATTTAAGTGATCCTTAAATCTTTCATTAAAACTCGCGAGGTGCCAAAGTCTTTCTCTAAGTAATATCGCACTCATGTCACTCAGCTGTGTGCATTTGTGATAATGTGTGTTCTAGATTTTATTGTTTTACATTGAAAAACACTCAAATGTATTCAGTTATGTAGTTAATTTCATTAAAGGGCATCAAAATTAGGTTGGTTGTTGCCTAGCGCTGTATTTATCTCTGTGAATATGATTCCCAGGTGTTCTGTGGTCTACCTTTTTATCCTAAAAGACTGCATGAGTTATGTGTCAACCAGAAGGCATACATCACATTTCCACCATCCATCTTTGATCCCATTTTCTTGCCACTGCCACACCACCCCCACCCTACTGCCTTAACCAGTGCAGAAACTTCAGACTTGGGGGTTGGAATAAAATAATGCAGGATCAAAACAGACTTGTTGGCACTAAAACAAATCATAGATGTGCTCAGCATATTTTTCTGTGACACACCATGACGCGAATGACTAAAAAGGTGCCTTTAATTCCGCTTTGCCGGTTCATATCATAAGAACAATAAACTCATTTATTGAGTTTCTGTAAAGTGATCTAGAGAAATGTTGCTACATGCAGCTTTACACAAAAGACACAAAAGTGGAGAACAAGACACATGTAGATTACCAAATTCATTCAACATTTGAAATAGTAGTTAATTTTACCCTGCTCTGTATCATAGTAGGGGAATCTTGTGTGCTTTAAGGCTCTTACAGACAAGTGAAAGATGCAGAATTCAGAACTGTCAGCACTCTCAATTATGCAAGCACACACCTATTCCTCTGTTCATCTTACGTCTGCTCATGAATATTGCACCAGGTGTCATACTATCTGCCATGTTTTCTGCATTGGTGTCACTTGAGAATGGCATTCGTTTAGCACTTATGATTATTGGGCAAACTTGCTGCCTTAGTATAAATACAAAGGAAAAAGCGCTCCAAGCTCAAGTTACCATACCAAATAGGTGCGCCTCTTGTTTTTCAGCTGTTGTGTTTTAATGGTGGACAGTAATTACAGAATGCGCTTACAGAACAAAGACAACAAAAGACAACTAAAGGCAGTCTTACAAAATGCTGTTGCGCTTCAATGATCACTAACAAGATGCTTGTTTTGTCTCTGCTTCTCCTCAGGTAACCGATAAGATGGCGGCCAGGGAAGCGACTGGGCACAGCTACCTGGTGGCTTGCTGGCAGCCCATTCTGATCTTGATGTTGGGCACCGTGCTCTCTGGTTCCACCACAGGCTGCCCCTCCCGCTGCGAGTGCAACCTTCAAGAGCGCTCTGTGATGTGCCACCGCAAGAAGCTCATGACAGTCCCTGAAGGGATTGCTGCAGATACAAGACTACTGGACCTTGGCAAGAATCGCATCAGAACCATTAACCCGGACGAGTTTGCCAACTTTCCTAACCTGGAACACCTTGAGTTGAGTGAAAACACAATCTCTACCATTGAACCTGGAGCGTTCAACAACCTTTACGGCTTGCGGACATTGGGGCTGCGAAGCAACAAGCTTAAGCTCATCCAACTGGGGGTTTTCACAGGCCTGAGCAATCTCACAGAGCTGGACATAAGTGAGAACAAGATTGTCATACTGTTGGACTACATGTTTCAGGATTTGTACAACCTTCGGTCGTTAGAGGTGGGTGATAATGACCTGGTTTTCATTTCCCACCGAGCTTTTCATGGCCTTAGTAGCCTTGAGCACCTGAGTCTAGAGAAGTGTAACTTGTCCTCTGTACCTACAGAGGCTTTTACCCATCTCCACAGTTTGATCACCCTCAGGCTTCGACACTTGAATATCAATGTGATACGGGATTACTCATTTAAACGTCTCTATCGACTCAAAGTGCTTGAAATAGCCAATTGGCCGTATTTGGATACGATGACTGCAAATTGCTTGTATGGATTAAATCTCACCTCTCTGACCATCGCCAATGCCAACCTTACCACAATTCCCTATGTAGCCCTGCGACACTTGGTTTATTTGCGCTTTCTTAATATTTCATACAACCCTATTCATACCATTGAGGGGAATAAGCTCCACGATCTCTTGCGTCTGCAGGAATTTCACCTGGTTGGGGGCAGACTGGCGATGATTGAGCCCTACTCTTTCCGAGGTCTAAACTACCTGAAGATTCTAAACGTGTCTGGGAACTCTCTTACCACTTTAGAGGAGTCAGCTTTCCACTCAGTCGGCAATCTGGAGACCCTTGCGTTGTATGATAATCCCCTGGCCTGCGACTGCCGTCTCCTCTGGGTTTTCCGCCGGCGTTGGAGGCTGAACTTCAACAAGCAGCAGCCCACCTGTACCTCCCCTGAGTTTGTCCAAGGTAAAGAGTTCAAAGACTTCCCAGATGTTTTGCAGCCAAACTACTTCACGTGCCGCAAGTCCAGGATAAAGGATCGCAAGCCCCAGCAAAAATTTGTTGACGAGGGAGCCATTGTTCATTTTACGTGTGAAGCAGATGGAGATCCTGCACCAGTTATAATGTGGCTTTCTCCACAGAAAAAGTTCATAACAGCCAAGACGATTGGAAGGATCTCTGTGTTGTCAGATGGTACCCTTGAGGTGCGTTATGCCCAGATTCAAGATAATGGTACTTACCTGTGTATAGCTATCAACGCGGGCGGAAATGACACCTCTCTTGCTCACCTGCACATTCATAGCTATTCCCCGGACTGGCCTCACCAACCCAACAAGACTTTTGCCTTCATATCCAACCAGCCCGCAGAGACTGGTGCTAATGGTACAAGGGCCAACGTCCCTTTCCCGTTTGATATAAAGACATTGATTATCGCGACCACAATGGGCTTCATCTCTTTTCTTGGTGTGGTCCTGTTTTGCCTGGTGCTCCTGTTCCTTTGGAGCAGAGGTAAAGGCAACACCAAGCACAACATTGAGATCGAGTACGTGCCACGGAAATCAGACGCTGGCATGAGCAGCAGCACAGTGGATGCTCCTCGCAAGTTTAACATGAAAATGATTTGATGGAGCTGTGATACAACTAAAAGATAACGCAAGCAGGAAACGATGACATTTTCTCTCCTCTCTTGCAAACCTGTGGATCATGGTCTGTTAACCTAGAGTAATGTTTTTCTTTCCTGACTGATGAACTTGCAAGGAGGGCAGTTCCTGACTTTTTCAAGTGGGAGAGATTGTGACTAGACCCGGTGTCACAGGGCATTGGTGGTTTCTAGAAGGCCTGAGGGGGCATTGACCGTCAAATTTGTCACGAAAAGTTCATATTATTTTGGATATTTAGTGTGAAAAATATATCAGAAAACAAAAAAAAACAAAAAAAACAGTTCAAACAGGCAGAATAGAAGGGGTGGATCATAGTTGGAACATTGATGTTATAGTGTGTTTTTTTATGTTCTTATTTTTTTTCAGGTTTCCGTGTCCTGTTATAAATGCAATTTGTTTGAATTGATGAGCACATTTATCACAGCTGATGCATTTTAAAAAACCCATAAACAATACTGTACATGTCTTTTGTTTATGCAATGTTTTTCATACTGTCTTTTTACGTTAAACTTTTACAGCCACAAATGTTTTGTTGATCAACCAAAATATGTCATATTTGTGTCATAACACCTTAACATACTTTTGTGAAAGGGTATTTCTCACAAATGGAGAGAGATAAGATATTAAAAATGTTTTTACACCAAAATAAGAAATTCTAGAAGATACAAAAGCATTTGTAAAACATAATTAGAATTTGAAAGGACTTGTAGCCGAGAAAGCGCAATGATGTAAAACAGATAATATTGTTGAACATCTAAATGACTATGACAAAAGATTTTGCTTTGAACATTGGTTATTTGGGTGATATCTTGTATTACTCCTACTGAGTCTGAGTGCTACACTGTACGAAACAGCTGAAAGGTGTTTTAAAATAATTGCATTTTAGAAAGATAATGTTGAAAACAGTGTTTAGACTTGAAAAGTAGCATTAAATCATGTTAAATGTTTCACTTAGAATCTGATTTCAGCTTTGGTGGAGCACTCTGACTTTCTTTAACAGTCCTTTGAGCCCATTTTGAGACCCAGGCGTACGACACACGCACACCCACACAAAAATTGAGGGCACAACACTGAGAGGAATTTGACATGTTGTTGATTTGTACTAACAATAGATGCACCAAGCAGACCACAGTTGGAAAAAAAAAATCAGGTATTCGCACCTCGTAATAATGTGCCAGTTGACCTGAAAACTCCAAGTCATAGGTTAGACTGCCAGGTCGGGCTGTTTTAGATTTAAATTCAAAATGTTGTCGGTTTGGAGAAGCTAACCGTAGCATCCAGTTGAGTTATTCACCGTAGAGTTTGTTCAGTAGGCCACATACACCTCGTTGCAGCTTAGGTGGGTACAGATTTAACAAATATTGAGCCCAGAATCCTCAGTCCTTTGATACAAAAAGCACATTCCAACTCTGATTATGTAATAGTATTATTTGTGCTCAACGTAATTGCAAGGAATTAAAGCTGCAGTGCTCATGTTTTTGGACATAATGTGCTCTTCAAGCTGATGAATATTTCTGTCACATTATAAGTTAACTTCTTGTATCATCATTGCTTTTTGTGTTTCTGGATTAATGCTTTCTTCATAACAGTGCCCCCATACCCACCCCCGACCCCCCCTTCCAATCAAAGCCATGGAAATGTTACCATCCTGGATCATTTACAGATTTGCTTCTGCCCAGAAATGTGCATTTTTTTCGTCAGGTCGGGTAAAGAACTGCTGCACATTACGCTCCTAGTCGGTCCTGCATTCAAGGGTACAGCCTTAACTTTTCAAGTGCACGCTGTGGACAGCTGGGCTTGGCAAACGTGTGTGAGGATAAAGTTATTTGTGATGGATGACATTACAGATAACGCAGTAATGACTGGGAAGTACGGACAGAAAACGCAGATGGTTGGAGTGACACAGATGGTTTCGCCCATGGAGCAATTTGAAGCAGCTTTGGTGTAATCCGTTTTGCATAAAGGAAAAAAAAGGAGAAAAAAAAAACACTGGAAATGGCTCACGGTTTTCCCTCTTGCTGATTATGAATGCTCTTTGTTCAAAGTGTGGCTACTGTATTGAGCCTTTTTTTGGTCCTGAGTGATCTGGGAATTCTGTTTTGCAATTTACGTTATTCATTCTTTTTTTATTTTGACCCTGGACTATATTTGTCCATGTATAGTCTAAGCCAACTTTTTACAAAAAAAAAGATACTAAAAAAGAAATCTATGGAAAATACATTCAAATTGTTCTGTGCAATAAAGGTAATATGCAGATTTTTTTTTAATTAACAAAATTTTGTTGATGTTGAATTGTTGAGAATATGGTATGTTGTATTAAACAATCTATGGATTTTCTAAAACATGTGCCGCTTCTATCATAATTGTGAAATTTTACTTAAGAGCAACATGCTTATTCTATGTTGTTGATTTTTAAGGGCAGATATCTGAAGGGGGGGCATTGGGTCAGTGACACAATCACAACCTGATGAGATATTTTATTCATCACATAATTCCCGGTATATTATATCCTTTGAGTATTTCCAAACAAAAGTGAAGCTAGTCAGATTCAACAGCCAGGTGAGACATTGGTGATCAGATAAGAAAGTTAATGTTTGATTTTTGTAATTGAATCCCTCATTAACGGATGATGCAGACTGCAAGGTAATTTAACATGTGCACTAATTACTTGTTTACAGGGAAAATGATGGTTCATTTGTACACTTGCCTTGCCTTGCAGCATTAATTAACCACCATTAGTAATGGATCATAGGCTTTATGATATGTTCAGGGAACATTATCCATTTACTTGACTGACATTTATTTGTTTTTCCAAAGACTATCTTCACTGCCGCAGTCTTAAATAGTTTTATTCAGACGTTGCTTTTAGGTAAACATTAACAAACAAAGGTTATTGTTTTTTGGGTTGTTGAAGATGACCATTGGTACTTTTTTTAGGAGTCCAGTTTCATAAAGCATGGTGCTTTTGTGCACTGAGTTTCAATATCTGTCCAGCTCCTTTACATTCCACATACTTTCAGAAATCCACTGGGATTTTTTTTTTCCCCTCCTTCTTCTGAAACTGCACCAAAGCACGCTCATTTATCTTCCGACTTGAAAACAGTCAGCCGGAATAGAAGAGGAGAGGAGATATGTTTAAGGCCAAGGAGCCCAGAGGAGTGTTGGAGGCATCCTTGATGTTCCTCTCTTCAGATATTACATTTCTGCTTCGAATTTTAGGTCATGAGCATGTTGATGGATTCTGGCCATGCGAGAAGTTGCCTCTCCGAAACTAAGCATGAAAGTACTGGCATATCTCTGGGTGCTCCTTGAATTCATTCAAAATCCTTGCGCTTAGCAACATCTGGGAGTCAAAAACATGAAAACGGACAAAAAAGTTTAGAGTTTGCTGCCTGCGGTGCTTCTGTCACGCATCACACATCAGAAGCTACCTACAACACAGGATGAAGCTAGTCATTTAACATTTCTTTTTACATGAGGAAGGTTATTTTCCTATCTCAAAATGACCTCATTTTATACCAACAGGAAATTTACGGTACCCAATATATTCCCAAAAGGTGGAAAATAGCAAACAGGACAAAATTCGTTGAAAGGTATTAAAGTGCTTATATAGTATAATCATTGTATGCTGTTCTCTCTTGATTAAGTATGAAATATCTGAGATTAGGCATGAATTGATGCAAATCAGTGGCAATTATATTGTAATAATTTGCATAGCCCTTATAGATTTTTGAATTTTTTAGACATGGGTTGTTAGGGTCAGGGTTGGAATTTGAAATCAGTGATGAACTTGTTTATTTTTTATTTTTTGCGAGAACTTAAATCTTATAAAACTGGATATACAAGAATGTCTATCAATTATTGTAATATGGAAGATTCCCCCACTCCTACCGAAGTTCATGACTTTCTGTCATCTCTAGGAAAGTTCACCGCACGCTGTACAACGGAGAAGGAGAGGAGGATTAAGTTACTGTTTGAGACATGTCAGATGTTCTCGGACTGACTGTGCAGGGTTTCCAATTACACACGGTGCAAAATGACAGAAAAAGTTAATAATTCAAATTACTGTTTGGATGCAAACTATCAACCAAACCCCTCAGTGGTTTGCACTGAAATGTTTGTACTGCATATAATGTTTCCATTTCAATCAAAAGTTCAACAGTCCTTTGGAGTATTTGATATTATTGGCCAGATTGTTACAACTTTACACTTGGAAAAATTGAATTTTGTTCAGACCAAGGAAAACTGGGGCCTGGGCCCAATGCCTGGGCCCAACTATAGCTAGAAGCGATAGTTTGTTTGGGAAAAAAACAGTTTATACCATAAATGGGAGGGACGTCACTTTATTATTGAAGACCCAGATCGTTAGGGTTCTGGATTATTTTATAGATGAACATGATTTATCTTAGGGGAAATCATATGTGAAAGATAAATTATTATTCTCTTTCAGAGTGAATTTGAAAGGAAACTCAGATTGTTCAGCCTTCACACACACATATATAGATATATATACATATATATATAAAGAGAGAGAGAACTTTAGATACAGATAGATAGATAGATAGATAGATAGATAGATAGATAGATAGATAGATAGATAGATAGATAGATAGATAGATAGATAGATAGATAGATAGATAAAGATATTTCCATATTCTGTTTGAAATACTTAAAAGAAAGTTCTCCGTTGTCTGAGCTAAATGTCTTTTCCTTATAAAATTCCTGCTCCCTTGTGTTTTTAATCCAATTTTCAAAATATTCACATTCATTTGATTTCTTTCAACTTAAATTGTGGGTCATACTTTGATCCTGCTGGGTTCAAGGGTTTGTCTGGTTTGGCTCCCATGAGGGGACTTAGCTGTTGCTTTGATGTTGAGCTGAGAATTATGCGCAGTCAATAAACAACTCCCCCCAAAATCGTGCTGCTTAAAAGGAAAAAAAAAAGGTCCCGATCCCAAATTAGA